ATATATATATATATATATATATATATATATATATATATATATATATATATAAGTTTATATTTCAAGCATTAATTTTAAATTGATAAGTGTCCAGTCAGTGCCTTACCTGCCACTTGAAGTTTCCTGTGGATGATCTCTCTATAATTCCTTGAAGACTGGAGTTTAAATTTACCAGAATGCTTTCCCGTAAGATTCCATATGTGTACATCTGAAATTGCATTTTAAAATGTCATTATAACTGAGAAATTATTGACCAAGTTCTGGCAAAAAGAGAAAATATAATCTATATATGTCACTATATACATACCATAATAATAACAACAATAATATTAATAACTCACGTCTTAAGAGTTGCACTACACAAGTGTCTCAGTGCAATTTACATAAAACCATTTAGTAATAAATAACCATAATTAAAACAAATGAATATCATATTATATATTTCTACCCCATGGTCCTTGCAGTTTAAATATCTACTACTGTAAACTATGTTTATAACTTACATTTATAATTTTCTAATAACAAAAAGTGCAAGGTGATAATGACAGGAAAAACCAGAAGGTGATGGCAGCATGATCTGACACACTGTGTCTGTCCATTTAAAAAGACCAAGAAATCTCACCATAGTGTCACTGATGTCCTGTCTGTAGCACCTAAACTGTTCTTTCTCCTCATTGTTCATCCCCGCAAACACCTCATCACTGGGATATTGCACTTTGGTCAGCAGCACATTGACTAGAGTCATGTATACAGGGGCAAACACTGGCACATAAACCTCAAACTTCACCGGGTCTGAAGACACTATATCATCCTGAGGAAGACAGTTATATTCAATTGTAAGTTACTTTGGTTGGTTGAGCATCCAAAAGGCATATACACAAAGGAAACATTATGCAGGGACTTCAACACAATACCATTGCTGGTATTACCAAAAAAAGTTTAAAGTCTGATCCAGAGTTTTTTCCATAAGTATTCACCTAAAAATACAACAAAACTACAAAGAAAAGTTGCACATATAATGCTACTATATACAGTGAGCCCAATACTTTGAGTTTATCAATGTAAAGTCCAAAAAGCATGGAATTTAGAAATGATTTTATAAGCACTTACCTGAAGAACATACCAGAAACTGAAAGTCATGTCACTACAATTTTCATCTACTGGGAAAGTGCCTGGGATAGCAGTGCATTGCTGGAAATTAGAAAACCCTAATCATTATATCAGCCACTGCAACTACCAAAAATTTTCTCACTGGGAGATCTTCAAATCGGAAGTTAACATGCTTTTTTTTTTAATCATTTTCTTTATCCTCTATTAATATAAAAATTTTACTATCATTCAATTATTTTCTGAATCCTATCTCAGAGTTTTTGGTCTCATCACTACTAGTAATCTACTACACAGACAAATTTTCATTAGAATATCACAAAGTTTATTTAAAAGCAATGGAAAATGCAGCAAAATTTAACAGTGAATTCTGCTTTCAATATACTGCATACTCACCATCATGAACTTGACCAGACTGAGCACCTGGTCTTTCTGCTCTCCTCCTTGTAATGTACTGTTCAGTATAAGGTCGGTGTGGTTCTCAGCAAGATTGGACAACAGCCTTGTGATACCTTGGCAAACCTCCTATGAAAACAAAAGGAAAATAAAAATAAAAATGCTACTTATATCACTCACTACACTTATTTATTTACATATCTATTTTTACTTTAAACCACTGCAACATCAGTTCAGTTTTACAAAGATGCTTTTCAAATTAAAAAATATTGATAAAATCTAACTAAAAAAATGGACTCACCAAATCATTCTCTTGGATACTTTTTTGTAAATAAGCCTCTAAGGCTAATACTTTTGGGACAAATTTAAGGATAGTAGCTGGATACCTGAAAATAAGTGACAAATTTCTTTTATAATATTTTTATAACAATTACTTAAAATCTTATTAACAACACAAGACTAAAATGATGATGATATAGTGTTCTTTAAATATTAGCAATATGTCATGTAATTTTTCAAACACTTCAGTCTGAAACAATACTAGGAGTTCCCTTCTTATGATGCATTATAAAGTAAATTTCGTTGATATTCAAAAGTAACCTAAATGAGCACCTAAGTAATTATCCTATGCTAATGCAGGAGTAAAGTTATAATCTACGTCACAAATATTCACTTTAGACAGATAAAAATGTAACTAGGGTATAACTAAGACTGCAGTATTGAGCAACAAGTTCCATACCAAGTCAAATTTACAATGTAAAAGTCAAAAGGTGAAACAAGAATTGTTAAATAATAAATAGGAGATGCATTATTACCATAAGCATTGTATGTCTAGACATCTACACCCCACAAACCCCGGTAGTTCCAAAACTGATGGTCAATCTCCATGACCACTACTTACTTATGAGCCTCAGGGTGAAGGAATACTTGTGACAGAGCCTCTATAGCAGTTTCAAAGAGAGATTCATTAGCTATCGCCTCAAACAGATGTTCCACCATGGGTTCACACTCATAAATAGGCAGCCCAAACTGCACCCAGCTGGAAAAGCACTTCATGGCTTGGTCATAAACCTCTTCTGGGGATGAGGGGTTCATCAGACTTTGCAAAAATGGCAAGACTGAAACAGAAGGATCATATTTTTTCTTTTTCCACAATTCTAACGATATTATCTAGCCACATGATAATTCCATTAAAAAAAATTGTGTGTGTGCGCATGTGCGTGTGCAGATGTACATGGTAATTTTAATAAGACAAACTTTCATAGAAATTTTCACCAGAGGTTATCACTCACTAAATTAATTCAAATACATGTGATTTTTGAAGTGCAGTTACACAACAGATGTAATTGAAAATCATGTGTAGGATTTCAATGCACAACAAAACAATTCATGTTTACCATGTTGTGATCCTTTCTTCAGTTCATGTCGAATCACACCTTTCTGATACTGAGTAAGGTGGATAGAAAAGAACTGAAAAAAAAGCATGGAATATTATCACAACAATGGTATGTTGAGGTAAACTGAACAAAGAAGTAAAAACAAATATAATATCACAACATTTATGTCAACATCATCTGAACAACATACCTGCTAAAAAAAAATTAATTGGACAATTCTTGAAAATGCACCATTTTACAATGAAATCCACAGCATTTCAAAATGAATGGAACAATGCAACTATTTGATACAAAATTTTACAGTAATGTTAAATTGTTTAAGTAACTTATATGGTGTCTATTTATATCTACCTCTTCTGGGATCACTGTGAGGATTTCAAGGAGGATTACACATACTTGTTTAGGCTGAAAGAGATAATAATAAGATAATTTACAGACTTAAAGTCATAAACTTAAGTTTTGTGTTTGGCAGTTGTAAATAAAAAGATAAATCCTGGCAAAGAACCAAAGTATCAACCAAAATAGCCACTGAAAATAAGATTGGTGCAGCAAAACAAGACAGTCTACACTACAAAGAAAGAGAGAAAGGCTATAAGGTAGAGTGGAAATTAATCTCAATGACTGAACTACAAATGTGTTTGATTGTTTTGCATCTTTTTCCTTTCTTTTATCAAATAATCATGTTTGATTTAATTTATAACATAATTGCAAAATTATTGCAAATAATGCATCTCATAATCTGTTGTATAAAAACTAACGACAACATGTATTTTCAACATTTTTACTACTACTACTACTACTACTACTACTACTACTACTACTACTACTACTACTACTACTACTACTACTACTACTACTACTACTATACCTCTACTTGAGGTAAGTTAGCTTGCTGGAACATGGTCATCACTGTCTCCAGGGGGTCTGGCCAGTAGCCTGGTATGGTGTGCATCACAAAGGCTGCAAGCTACAGGAGGAGTAAAAAAATGATCCACTCTACAATGATTTAAACAACTCTGATAAAATATGTGATGAATATGAATGCTGTTATATATAGATGTTTACTATCAGGACTGAAGTGACTTAATTATTTCTTTACTACAATTGGTGAATATGAAGATAAGACTCACCGTTACGCAGAGCCTTGTAAGTACGATTTTAGGCCCTTTTGCATAATTTGCTATTTGCTGAAGCAACTGTGTCTTGAGCACTTCATACTGCTCTTGCTGCAGCTCATGCCTATAGAAAAACATGATAAAAGGTAGGTGACACTGATAACATGCATTATGCTCTAGGTCAGTTATCAAACTCAATCCTGTGCAATCTTAAAATGATGCAACTTTATCACAGACAAGTTTATCCATGCTATGTTAAGGGAATTATCTAATACATGTCTAGTAATGAATTCTCAGACTTACCAATACTTTGATATCTTCATATGCAAGCAGTTGGCACCAAAAAACTGAACTTGTATACTCTGAAGAAATGAAATCTCAATTCTGAATACAGAAGGGCATGTTACATGCATTCATATTTTAATCATCAAACGATCTGAATGTAACAGCATTGATGGCAGTAAAATTTTTGATCATTCAGACTTGAGTGGTTGATTTTAATTACTCCATTAGATTATGAATTCAACATGCACTGTTAATATATAATGCATAAAAGACATATAAATGTTTCACAAAGATCTGACATCAAAGATAGACATTTACCTTGTTAGGTTGTAATAATTCCCAGCAAAAGCTCCACGCTGCTGGAGAAGCCTGGGCCACAGTGAGCCAACAGTGGGCTTGCTGCTGAGTGGCTGCATCATACTGATAAAACTGATAGATGGCCTAGAAAACAGAAATTTATAACACCAATAAAACCATGTCAAAAAAATGGCTTTACTATACAACATTTTGTTAGATGATCAATATTACTGCATTGATAATTACTTTAAAATAATATTACATTGTTTTTTTTTCTTTTTTTAAAATAAGTATGCAATTAGGCCTAAGCAAAATGGAAAGTAAACTTTCAATTTCTATTTCCATCCATAAACAAAACTCACACTGCAATTAAAAAAAAACTATAATAATGGGTGCAAAGCAGTACTCACCTTTTCTATGTTTTCTACAGTTATGTCCATTTCTTCAAAGCACTTCTCTAATTCTGATTAAATATATAAACACTTTAGATAAGTCATTTTACATAACATGTACGTAAATTATTAAGGAAATGTTAAACAATAAGAGAACTCCTCTATTTAATTGCGAACTTTAGCTGAAATCGCTGAGACTGCAACAAGGCCTTGGTCAAACCATCTGACTCTTGTATAAAGTAAGGACTTGAAGTCACCAAAGTGGCACAGTTACAGTGCATTATCAACGACGCATAATCCTTATCTAACCTAGCATTTGCTTTGTAAATAAACCCCCTTCTTGTATTGGATATACCACATATTTGAAAAGAAGATACAGCGCGTTTTATCTGTCTTGTCCCGTATTCTCAATCACTGAGGGACGTCAGCGAGCACCGCTAACTTTTCTTTAATACTAAAGTCTTGGTGACTGATGACAAGTTGTCAGTGACACTGTGATGTAAATAATTTAGTCGACTTTGAGCTTGGATGTGACAAAGGCCAGTGTCTCTGATGTTACCCATAGAATGAAAACACAATAACAGTCGGCAGTATCTTTTGCATGAATCAACATCTAAATGTTATTTTTCGTTAGAAGCAATTTCTCTAATGCTCTTCAAGCAAAAAACAATAATTCATCAAGCACCTGCCCCTTACCTGATCCACCATATTGAAATCAGCTCTCGTAATATCTCGTTCGTGAATGTCTGAAGAAATATACATTTTATGTACTTTCAAGATGTTAGACATTCATACCGAAATTATTTTCAGATATTTTATATCTATGCTACTTCGCACATTGAGCAGTAGGCTATTTATTCCCATTCCTTTCGTTGCTTTACATTTCATATTCATCTTGGAAACATTGGTCACATGATCAAGCAATAGACTAGAACGTGAACTGAGAGATGGCAAACCTCTATAGACAAATATTTTACTCTGTTCCTAGGGCGTATAGACGGTTTTTGGTGTATAAAATATTATTTGGAATATTTATACTTGCCATCCTGGCATATAATTACAGAGGTAAGACTTCCATGGCAATTTGTTTGCAAAACACAAGTATTTGTTACACATCTTACCTACTCTCTTAATTGTGCAGTAAAGAGCTAAGTACAGCGAAGCTAGTACATGTGTATCACTCATTCTAGTGGCTTAAACAACAATTTAAAAGTATACTTCATGAGATTTTCCCGCCAAAATGGAATTTTCCCAGGAAAAGCAATTTTCTCGTACTCAAGAATCATTTATCCATCCCTCTTTGCGTTTGGATTTAACATGTAATTA